ACGTATAGTCTACAAACAACGTCTTGCAATGCCGAACTGTTCAAACGTGGAAGGTCTTCACTTGTTGATGATGATCAAGATCGTCAAAGAACACCAAAGTGAAAGCACTTGCAGCTGCAATTCCTTTTGCCTTTGCCGCCCACTTTGGAGTGAAGGCATCTGTAAAGATAGGCCACCCCGCGCCACGTTGTCGGCGCTGGGAAGGCCTATCTGTGTTGGCCAGGTCACCATTGGGGTCCAATGCGCACCTTTGCCACTGTCCGCTCACCTCACCGTTTTCGCGAATGGTCCTACAGTTCCTCGAACCTACAATTGAAGGGACACGGGTGTCATAACACATCCGCTCCCATGAGTTTATTCCGGTGTGTAACTTTATCAAGAACCTTTGCGCGGGACGCGTGCAAAATCTCTGTACATCAAGCAAGCGAGACCACACGCGTGAGCTCACGTAAAGCACAAATGTGACAATGTGAGCATAAGTATATACTGACTAAAGTGATTGTTAAATATTAGTTAGTATATATGCATATATAATATATAACATATATAATCATAATCTATATTATTCGACACTGCAATTAATATGGTATGTGACCAACCGCTGTAGACCTGGCACGGTTTTTGCACTTTGATGTCCACCAAATGCTTCAGTGGCAACTCAATCGCTGGACTCTGCCTGAATATCCCGCGAAGGGCTGTGCCTACCACGAAATCTGCAGTTCCAGGACGACCAGGTGGGGCAAGCTTGAAACTCAAACCTGAGAAGCTGCAAAACGAAAGCCAGCGCTTCCCTTTCTCGACAACTTCGCGTTAGGGGTTCAGATAGGTACCTTTCAGGTATCGAAGGCAGTCTTCCAGGCCAAGGGAGCTGCAAAAAGAAACCGGTGTTAAAATGGTTGTTCCGAGGCAATGCTTGAACCTTGGGATGAGCTAAAGAGAAAAAGAAATGCACCGGTGTCTTTGGCTCAAGTGTGGCCGGAGAGCAAGAGCCGATACAGGTGAGTGGGAGAGCCCACAACGAGCGAGTAGCGGCGGCGGTAATCCACCAAAGCAACAGGTCCAAGGGGGATCTGGGTATGAATCCGAGGTCGCAGTGATGCCAACGACCCCAATGTAGGCATATGTGGCATACATGGAGTGTTGAGGTATGGAGCCACATACCCACGGATCCATCCTCGTGTGCACTGGTTTCTTTACACAGAAGCAAGCCGCAAACAGCCCAGCTTTGAAAACAGAAAAGGTTATGGTCATGTTCCAGTGGCTGAAAATCCATAAGAAGCAACAAAAAGTTAGAATATAACGTCATGTAAATTATGATGGAACATCTGTTCTCTGCTGCAAGAGCGGCATTGCTTCTGGATGGTCGGGCAAGGCTCAATACTGCTTAGAAGTCCCTATGAGGGGTCACAGCGATCGGTCTGCTGCAAGTTGGTGGTCGGGCTGTTGCACGGAAAATGACATGATGGAACATGGCACAAGCACGACCACTGCAGAGTCCACGTGGCTGTCTGTTTCCGGGCTGTAAAAGGCTTCGAATCAATCAGAGAAGAGCCAGTTCTGCACGGCGTGAAAAAAATCATGCGCAGAGACGCGCGAAGGAAGCGACAAACGCGTGTGGAGAGCGATGTGAAGTAGGAGTGAACATGTGTCGTCCGTGAAGGGGGTTTGGAGGTTTAGTCTATAAACCCATTAGATAGTGTGGGCACCATTCGCGGAGGAGACCGGTCCAAAGTAGGTCAAAGGAACCTCAATGAACCCATTGCCAAGGGCGCCACGAAACTCACAACACCCACGGTGACACCCACCGGTACGGCGGCCAAGGGCATCCGGTCGACCGTCAGCATGGGTCGTGTCTGTATGTGTCTGTCACGGCGTCGCAAGGTGTCACTGCACCGCAACGGCGACGGCTGGAGTCAGCGTCGCCTGCGAGTAGGTGTCCGGAAGTGTGCTAAATAGACCAACACGGTGATCACAGGCTCACGGCGATGACTTAGTGATGACACAGCCCATGCGAAAGACATGCGCCGACGTCGCGACAGGGCCTGCCACGTTGGCTGTATCTTTGTGTTGTCAGATCATGTTTGCGCAGCCCCTCGAATCCACCCAAGCAGAACTCGGCCGCCTACGAAACAATATTCTGGAGGCCTCTCGTTTGTTCTGCAAGATCTCGTGTTGAAGACATGCAAACAGACGTGCAAACAATATGCAAGTTCGCGTAATCAAAACTTTGGCCTTTCAGGTTCACAATCGTATCGTTTAGGGAAGTAGAGGTCTCCTCAGTCCAAACCCTCCATCGTCCAAGGTAAGCGGTAAACCTCCTCACTCATTCAACCCCTGCACTCATCCTCGCCGTCGCTATCTTCGCTCATCGCCCCGAGAACAAACACACCAAGGCGCATGAGGCTGTTCCTCGGGAAGACCGTCATGGTCTTGTACTCGCCCTGATCGAAACCCCCCACTGACCATCCTTGACGGATTGGAAGCTGTCGTAAACAGTCCCACTCCCCTAGAGAAGCCAGTTGCTCCAACCGCCTGTTGCTGCGCAAGCGGCAGGAGGGACGCCGTGAGCCAAAACAACGCGGGGCGTCTGCACATAATGTTCGAATCTCGAAGCGCGCGGTCGGTATCCTTGTTTGAATCTGGTCTTCATTTTTGAGGTGGCCAGAACAATGGTTTTAGGGCAGCAAAGCCCTGGCCCCAGGCCACCTTGAATTTGGCTGGACAAAAACATTCTGTTTAATGTCTTGTTCTGCTGACACATAGGTAACCATGCAAAAGCAAAAAATGCATTCTTGCATCACCACTAAAACATCACCTCCAAGAGTTTACGTATACCTTTCTCAGGCCACCCCCCCAGACCCCCTACCTACTCACTTCGTTCGCCAAGCACAGCTCAGCATTGAGGTGGCCTGAACATAGTGTTTGAGGGCGGCAAACCCCAAGTCCCAGGCCACCTCGAAGTTTGCTCAAAGACCCCTCTACTGAAACGAATGCGCTTCCTCAGGTGATCGACCGACAAGCCTTGACGCCTCGTCAGATATACACCCAAGGATCCTCGCTTCACATTGAGGTGGCCTGAACAAAGCGTTTTAGGGCAGCAAACCCCTGGTCCCAGGCCACCTTGCATTTAGCTTCATGAACATTCACGCGCGCGGACCCAACAGCGACTTGCATTTAGCTTGATAAACATTCGCGCGCACCCCCCCATCGACCTTGTTGTAGCGGGTCTTTTTAGGAGCGGCCTTATCCAGGTATCCTTGTTTGAATCTGTTCTTCATTTTTGAGGTGGCCTGAACAATGGTTTTAGGGCAGCAAACCCCTGGCCCCAGGCCACCTTGAATTTCGTTGAAAAAAACATTCTGTTTAATGTCTTTTTCTGGCCACACATAGATATTTCCCATCCACATTCAGATGATGCAAAAGCCAAAAATGCATTCTTGCGTCACCACCCGCTCCAAAAGCATCAAAGCATCACCTCCCAGAGTTTACGTATATCTTTCTCGGGCCACCCCCCTCGGATGCCCAACCTACTCACTTCGTTCGCCAAGCGCAACTCAGCTTTGAGGTGGCCTGAACATAGTATTTGAGGGCAGCAAACCCCTGGTCCCAGGCCACCTCGAAGTTTGCACGAAAACCCGTCTACTTAAACGAATGCACTTCCTCAGCTGATCGAATCTGGAAGCCTTGAAGCCTTGTCAGACATACACCCAAGGACCCTCGCTTCACATATCTTCATTTTTGAGGTGGCCTGTTTAGGGCAGCAAACCCCTGGCCCCAGGCCACCTTGCATTTAGCTTGGTAAACATTCGCGCGCGCGGACCCAACATCGACCTTGTTGTAGCGACAAGATCTTTTTAGGCGCGGCCTCTTGGCCATGTACAGGCATCACCCGAGGCCTCCAACCATATCCTCTAAACTGTAGCTACCCAGGGTCCGTCTAAATGCTATTGCGCTATACCTCTGCGTGCTATACCTCTATTCTCCGCGCCCTGGGGAGCTACCGCTGCACAATCTCTGTGTCTCTTTACACAAAATGCCAGGTTACACAGAAAGACGGGCTTGCGATCAAACATCCTATGATCCAGTGCTCCAATGATGTTGCACTTTTTCCTCTCCAGTCTCATTGGTGCTCTAAACTTGGGTATGTCGGACGCATAACACATACGGACCCCATGTAACTACAGTTCAGTTGCATGGTATAACACTTCCATGGTATAAATGCATATAGCGTTCATAATTGCTCTCCTTCTGAAAGATGTTATTCACTCACAGCTGCACGAAGCTATAACACATCGGCCTCTGTACAACGACACCGTACCATTCAGATGATGCAAATGATGCAAATTGCATTTCTTGCATCACCACCCGCTCAAAAATCACAAAGAATCACCTCCAAACCAACCTCAAAAACCTTCCGTCGCTGCACCCTCCTCCCCCAGCATGTGCCGAGTTCACGTGTACCTTTTGCGGGCCACCCCCCCAGACCCCCTTACCTACTCACTTCGTTCGCCAAGCACAACTCAGCTGGCGCCTTCTACGAAGGCTGGCTTTCGTAAAATTCCAAAATCTGTGAGACGCACTTCACAGTGCTTGGCACGGCATCGGTGACCTTGGCACATCACCACCGTATCCAAAGAGCACTCCTGCATGACCGTCGATACACGTAGAACTAAACCTACAGCACCCGCCATGAAAAGTGAGCTGGTGCAGTGAGAGTCCTTGCGACACGCCAGCTCGGCGACCCTTCGCAAGGATTTCGTACGTCGAGACCCACGAGGGACAGAGTTCTGGAGGAAGACTTGCGCAAACCTTCGATCTAGAACCTGTCCGTGACGTGTGTAAGACTTTAAGAACCCCCAGTGTTGGTGCGCTGAAAATTGCTAAAACAGTAAAAAAATACTTAAAGTAATACTTAAACGAAACACTTCAAACCCGTTGTCCTCAAGAGTGATTTGCCACTGTGCACAACTCAGCAAATCACAACGCATGCGCCTGGGCCCTCACTTGGGGTCTTTGCACATGGAGGTCCCAAAGAGGCTTTTGGAGCAGCCGGTGGTGCAACAAAGGGCAGTGCTCGAATCCTTTCCGCAGCAGAAGGTGTCTGGTGTGCACATCCTGAGCAGCGTTTGCAGCGCATAAGCAAAGTATTTGGTGTTTGCATGAAGAAATGTCAAGAACTTTGGGATGGCAAATCCATATATACTACATTAATCTTGTCCTGAGAACCACTCTAAGTTCCACATCGGAATGAGGGCACATGTGTGTGTGTGCGCAGGCAACACAACAAATATAAACATATGCACATTGTATATTACATTGCAGTATGTTGCATGGAGGTGTCATCTAATCGTCGATAGGCTCAAGAAAAGATTGGTACGAGTTCCGTCCAGGATCAAGGGTGCATGCTCATTGTCTCGGCAGCAGGTGGAGCCAGCAGACAAGCACACACCGCCGCAGCACTTTGAATCAGCTGTGCAGCATACCTTATTCCAACACCCACCCAACGCTAACCCCATTCGCAACAACACCGTCAAAAACATCAAGAGGTACCATCCCACCATCTCCCTCCCCCTCCACCTCTCTCATCCTCTCTCTCTTTATCCTTGATCAGTTGATGGGGAAAATCACTAGTGGATGTCGTTTCAGCCCAGCTTGACTCACAGCTTTCGCCTTGTGCCCGCAGCAAAGGTCGTCCGCCATGCAGGTCATCGTGCCGCACACGTTGTCCTTCGTCGTGCTCAATCCTGTGAGCTCCAACGAGCCCCAGGAGACAGGCCGCGGCAGGGGAAGGACAAGAGCCAGCGCTGCCACCTGTGACTGTAGATTCGGGATGATTCGGAACATGGAAGACTTGACATTGTGGATGACAGTGCTTCGGATGCTTCGAAGAGAGTAAATGGATGACCTCTTGAACCTTTCCACCGCTCAGAACTCTTCTGCTTGCCAAACCCCGACTAACCCCCCCAAAAATTGGGATGTGGCCCAACAACAGAAGCTTTGAGGGTGCATCCAAGGGGCATCTCCTTGCAACACAATAATGTCTTGTCACCATGTTGACAAGGGGCTCCAAGGAAAGCAGCAATCGAGACAGTGTGCTTCGAAGGCATCCAACAAGCTACAGGAGGCAAACAAATGTTATGTCAATCATCTCCCAGATCCCGTATGCTTGTTGTTGTTGGATGTTCTGGCAACATCTTGCTGCCAGGTGGCAACCAACAAAGCAAAGAGTGGCCAAATGTATTTGCCGCGTGCTCGTGGGGCAACAACCTCCTTTCGAAGGCAAACCACGTTACTCATGCATGTCCCTCATGTGTTCATGTTCTCGCCCATGTTACCGTTTATGTGTATCAGGTGCTTCTTTACGTATACGGATACGGCATTTTCTTGCCCTGTCATTGGCAAGTCTGTCACCGACTCGCTCCTGAGGGCTCTCGGACAGCAATTCAGAGTCCTCGAGAGGGGCATCCATTTGACCAACTGCTTCCTATACACCTCCCTGCAGAATTCAGCTGAGGCCAAACTGCTGCGGGAGCCTCTGATGGGATCAAAGGAATTTCCAATAAAGAGGTTTTGATGGAAGCATGTGCACTTCATTAGCCCTGCATGCGTGAGTTGGAACCGTTCCCAACAAGTGAGATCAAAGTTGAATAGTTCAACACCACCATGGCTGTGCCAAGGAGGCGGCGGGCTGCGGCAAAACGACGACAGCACCTTCTCGATGCGCCGTCAAAAGCCCCCCCGGTCCTCCCAGCCTGAAGCTCCTCGGTGGTCATCCCCTGATCCGAGCCATTCGACATAAACGATTGAAATGCAAACTGCATCCCCTGGTCATCTGCTGGTAATTGCAAACTGCATCTTAGAGAATGCGTCCACCCTGACACAAGAATGGTCAGGTCGGAAGAAATAGTCAGTCTTCATGGACCGCCATGTTCCATGTCTGTCAACTACACTCAAGATCATGCAGTCGTGCCACAGTTTGTTAATGTCTCACACACAAATAGATATTCTAAATACAGTCGCAGGCAAGAACGAATGAAGAATACTGACGCTGCTAAGACTTCTTGATGAAAGGTCATGAAAGAACGACTGCAAAAAAACATCGCACAACTAGACTTAGATCTATACGTAGGATTCGATCTAAACACAAAGAACAATCTCACATCCCACTTCAGCATATCACCATCGCCTAATGTGCGCTACACTCAGTCCGATCCGTCCACTGTGCCTCCACCTGGGCACATCGGAGTTCACACAGGACCTGACCGAGCACCAGCCCGAGAGCAGCGGGCGAAGCCAAGGAGTAGCGTTTGGAGTTGATAGTTGCATGATGTTGCATGTTCGAGTCGATCTCAGCCCATTGGAAGTTCAGACTTTCGATTGAGGAGAATTGAAGAGCACTCAGGGCTCAAAGAGATGGCCGAAGCCCACATCCCTATGTGTTAAATGGATTTACATGGATCTTGAGGATCCCAACATGTCCAATGATTGGTCGAATGGCAAAACCTGTTGAAGCCACCTATGAGCCCGGTCTCGTTGTGCCGATGTTCGCGACGTTTTGAGCTCCTGCCCAGTGTCAGGCATCGAAAAGCCTGCTGACAATGCTTCTTTGAAGAGCCTGGCTCCAACCTCCTGGTCATTGACAGCATCAAGCACAGCGTTGTAGCTAACAACATTGGGAAGCAGCTGCGAATCTGAGATCTGAGTAAAAGCAATAAGAGCAAACTCCCAGCGGAGGTTGCAAGCGCTGATGGTGGCATTGTAAGACACCAGGTCTGGAGTGATCTTGCCGCTGGACATGTCTTCGAGCAAGTGCACAGCAAGAGCCCACTGGCTTCCACCCCCAACGGCACTGATGGTCGAATTGTAGCTTACCAAATCCGGCAACAACTTGGTGGAAGCAATGTCTGCAAACAGCTGCAAAGCTACTGCCCACTGCTGCTGTTTGGCACAGGTGTTGATCATTGCATTGAAGCTGATGACATCAGGTACAATCTGTGATCGTGGCATCATCTCCAACAACATTAAGGCAGTTGACCAGCTGCCGCTGCCCTCACATGCTCGGATGGCAGCGTTGCAGGCCACCACATCTGGAGCCACTTTCGCCACCGGCATCTGCTCAAAAAGTCTCAAAGCCACGGAGGGGACAGCTTCACAGGCCTTCAAGGCAGCACTGTAGCTGCGAACGTTGGGAACCAGCTGGTGTTGCCTCATTGAGGAAAGAATCTCCAAGGCACGCGGCCAATGTTCTACTGAGCTGATGAGGGTGTTGTAGCTGATGACATCAGGGGATAGCTTGGCATCAGCCATGCTGTCTACCAACCACAAGGCCTGTTGCCATTGCTTCGCCTTTGCGCAAGCACTGATGGTCGCGTTGGTGCTGATGGTATCCTGAAGAGTCGCAGCTCTCATCTGGCTGAACAGCTTGATAGCCAGCTGCCATTGTCCGTCCTTCTCACACGCCGTGATTGCTGAAGTGTAGCTGATCGCATCTGGAGCCACCTGCGCAGTCACCATAGCGTCAACAAGCTTCAGCGCCACATGCGACACAGCTTCCTTTCCGAAGCAACCAATCATAGCATTGTAGCTTCTGACATTTCTGCCAGCCTTGGATCCCAGCCAAGCTTCACACAGTGTCAAGGCGCTTTGCCACTGCAAGGCCTTGACACTTGCTTCTGTCAGGGCCGTGTAGGTCGCGAGGCCTGGCGAAAGCTTTGACAGGTGCATCTGTCTGAGGAGTTCCAGCCCCAGTTGCCACCGGCCTTTGCAAGCGCTAATGGACGCAGTGTAGCTGAGGGCATTGGGCACCAGCTGGCAACCCGCCATCGTCTCCAGGAAGTGGATGGCCAGCCACCAAAGGCCACCCTTCTCACAAAAGCCGATAGCCGAGTTGAATGTGAAAATGTCCTGACCCAGTTGGCCGTGAAGCCGATGGCTGGGCCAACTGGGGAAGATTGAAGCACAGCTACTCAGCGACCGCTACCCTTACCTTGTCTACGGTGTCCAGTAGGAGAAATGAACAGGTCAATCAAACCAGTGGAACAAATTCACCGTGTCACTGCATCACTATTCAGGTCTTGCCATGCCTTGCCACATGTATGTTCTGCTCGTGAGTTGGACAGGCAAAAGTGTTTGATCATGAGTTTGGACAATACTCTGGCAGTAAGCCCAGAAATAGAAAAGTGACCCCCCCGCAATATACATTGGAACTTGTTCTACTCGAGTACCACCATGTACTCCAACAAAGCTGATCACCAGCCCAAGGGGCTGGCTCAATCTGCTTCATGCGCATGGTCTCTAGAAGGTCTAAACCAATCTGCCAACGACCCTCCATGCGACAACAGCTGAGAGCCGCGTTGTAGCTGACCAGGTTTGGCGTCGCTCCAGGCATGGAATTTAAAAGGTGCAGTGCCATCTGCCAGTGTTCCCGGCACGCGCTCATGGCAGCGTTGTAGGAGATCACCGTTGGGCAAAGCTTGTCTTCTTTCATGACCTCCATCCGTGTTCGTGCATGAGCGTCCCCTCCAAAAACGCCTTGACTCCAATCATCACCAGTGATGGGTCACTTAAAACATATCTTCTAAAGATCCTAAGATCCCTCCGACAGCCCCAGGTTTGATCTCCTTGCGTGTCTTCTTCTGCCGCTCACCTAAAACCGACTCAACTGCAACACCCGACCTGCAGCATCTTTAAGGCCTGCTGCCACTGCCGGCCCTTCTCACAAGCAGTGATCGTGGAGTTGTAGCTGATGACGTTGGGCAATAGAACGGTGGCCTCTACGCAACTACCCGGCTTAGGTTTAAGCTAGTAGCTAGTGGACACCAGCTATGTCCTGACGATATCTAGGTCTGGGGAGTCGCTCCATCATGTTTGACCGCTCTGGAAGACATGTGGCGTGCAGGTGTGTTGGCGCGCCTCCATCCGCCTCAAAAGGCTCATGGCCATTTGCCACTGGGCGCTCTTGGCACAAGAACTTATGGCTGAACCTCGGTTTGATGAGAAGATCTGGTGCCCAAAATTACCAAAATAGTTGATCACCAAAGCAAACATAGCCAAAGAATTCACCACTGTTGAGGGAAGCAATCCTGCTGGCAGCTAGCACATGGAACCACCAAGAAACCATCTTAATCCCAGGTCACCAATAGATTCAACCCAAAAATAGAAAGGCACAATACGTATTCCCAAATTTTGAGTAGCTGTAACTGACCACGTTTGCCATGACCTTCCTTTTGCGCATGGTCTCCAAGATCTCCAAAGCCTTGGAGGTCGATCCAAGAGCCTTGATGGTGGCGTTGTAGCTGATGACATCCGCTGGCACGCTCGCCCGGTCCATAGCATCCAACAAGTAGAGCGATTGAGGCCATTGAGTTTGTCGTCCAGCAGCACTGATGGCAATGGTAAAGTGACCACATTCTAAACCGGAGAACTTCTCTGAGATAAATTTGTCCAGGGCTTTCACCGCCAGTTCGCACTTCTTCCCTGCTAGCTCTTTGAGGATGTGAGCGATTTGTGGAGCATCTTTAGCAGCACCCCGTCTCTTCATAGCTCAAAGCGACCCACCATCTCTTCGTCGGGCTGAGGATCTATTAAGCATTCCCAGCTTGAGCGGAACATATTGGACATGCATGGGCATGCAATCCATATTGGCCTCACGCTCACCTCATTCTTATGCCGGTCTGCCTGGAGACGCACTAAAGTCAAGGCAGTAATACAGCCTGGAATCTGAGAGTTGATCCAGGTTTGTTTGCACATCGGTTCAGGGTTTGCCTGCTTTTGTTGATTCTTACATGTCAAAGGCGCTTCCTCGCTGATGACACGACGGATGATGCGAGGAGTCTTTCCCAAGCTGTTGGGATGCAATTGCTTGCACAGTGGCACAGTAAATAGATGGCATGGACATGCATGGACTGTCAGACCCCTGGGTCAAGAAAATAGCAAATGGATCTTGCCTGGTGTCTCACTACTAAGTAACCAACGAAAATCACAATCCCGGACAATCCCCTTGTCGTTTGCTTGAGCCCTGTCCAGGTTGGTTTGTGTTGGTTTGGAGTTTAGACAAGCCCTAAGCCCAACCACAAAAAACAAACAGTGGCTGCCAATCGGCATCTTTCTCTCAAACGTTCGTCATGAGGCCGGATCAAACTTGGAGTCAACTTATTAGATTCATGTAATCTGGAGGCTGTCCCTGACCTTGCTTGAGGGATGCTGGACACTTCTTCTCACTAAGACTATTGTCCCACCTCATCAGGTGGTGTCCAGCTGAGACCGGGCTTGACCTTGGATAGGGTGGGACACGGGCATGGTTGACACGAGTGTTGCTCGAGTAGACTGGGTGGGATTCGGGCGGTGCAACAGCAGCGGGAATTCTGACAACCACATCAAATCGTCATTGGTTCCATTGGCTGCAGCACTCATCATTATCATGCATCCATACGCAGCCTATACATGCCTGGCACCAAATCCTACATGTGGTTGGTCCTTGAGCCCTCAGGCCTTTCATTCACTTGACAAACATCCAATCACCGGAGCCTTGGGTTGGTTTAAGTGCTCAGTGCTGAGGCTCCTTCTGCCAGGCTTGGTGGCACCGGCGCCTAGGGATGCCAACGGAACCAGCACGCCAGAAGTTGAGACCCCCAAGGGCATGTAAAAGACCGTGCAGTCCAAAGTCCAAAACAAATACACCTTGCCGCCTTACAAGGTCAAGGGCACCACCCAGGAATCAGGTCAACACACAAAGACGATGCAATGTGAGCTGCTCAGATCCTGTCTGGAAACCACTGTGTAAAGCGAAGTGGGATACCCCTCGCGCGGAGGCGCAAGTGTGGTAGAAAACTGCTCTCGATGTATTGTATGCTGGCCCTGCCCTGGCCAAACCTGGAAAAAGTGGTCTCCCCTTGCCGTGTTTGCCTGGCAGTCCTTGCGAAACAGCAGGAAGTAGCTGCAGTCCGCAGGAGAGAAGACCTGAAGGACCCGCAAATCATGCTCCGGTCAGCAAATGGGGTGGAAGACCAAGCATTTTGTAATCAGGGTTTGTTTGAAGAGAGCATTTATATATATATATTAAATATATAATATATTATATGTTTTAGGTCCGCTATCTGCCCTGTTTTCAGGGATTAGTGCCGACTGGAAACCACCTCGTAGTGATTGAGCCATAGCTCGTTCGTTAGGGCACGGGTGTTGGTCTTGGATTTGGCCCATCGTAAAGCAACACGTGGTAAACCATTCAAACAGGTTACAGTAATGAAGCCCAATGAAGGCCCCTTAAGGCTCCTAATGTCGGCGTTTCTGAGGGTGACGGCCAAGCAAACGCCGCCAGAGCATTTCGAGGAGCCCTCATTGAGCCTGGCTGTCAGTGCTGTTGTCAAGCTGTTTGGACCCTCTTGGTTTCCCACGGCGGATGGGGTCCAATCTATCCATTTGGTGTTGGGAACTGGCTTCCAAAGCATCAAACAAATTCAATGGCATTCTAATTCCAGCAGTTCAAGTGTGTTTTAAGTTTTACCACTGTGAGGCTTATTCACGCATATGTCTGCGTTGGTTTCTGAGTCCAAATCCACTTCATGAACCGTGTCAGCCATGGTCTTTGCGCCATGCACACCTAAACGTGTAGTATCGTGTATGTTGTTTGTTTTGTTTTTTCCATCCCTGCTACCCCAGGGGGTGGGGGGGTCGGACCCCCAACAGAAAATGGATTATCCATTTTTGACACTGATGATGCATTAGCAACGGTCTAGATCCAGTGATATTCAGTGTCGTCCATAGCACCAGCCTGCACTTACCCAACCTGTTTTGCACTTTCTGCATCATATTTTGCATCGTTTGGGTTGTGTTTTTGATCTTTTGGCGTTATCTTTTTGGTCTCTTTTGGGCTGCGTCCTGTTTCTGGTCGAGAACAAGAAAAGATAAGAAAAGCATTGGATAGGGATCCAGGTATCTGGTATTTCGAAGTGCAAAACAAGCGAGCGTTGGGCTGTATATCTTGTTACATCGAGCGTTAAATCAAAGAAACAGACCTTGATTTACATTGCGTGGACGCGTTGCCTAATACACTGCATGGACGCGTTGCTTACGCCCGCGGGGCGTAAGCGATGCGGACCCTCAGGGAGCTCCGAGCAGTGGGACCGCGGTGCCGTCCAAAAGGTCGCGTTGCTTACGCCCGCGGGGCGTAAGCGATGCTCCTTGTTTTTTTTGGATTTTTGGCTACATTCAAAGCAAGACCATCATATTCAATCATGCCAGCATGGTCAAGTGAATTCAGGTGGTTCACACGATCTTGGCACTTTTCTTTTCTTTCCCTGTGTCTTAATCTACTGCCCAAGCGGAAAGCCATCAAAAGTCTTGAATCTGGTGGGCACCCTGGCATCTCCATGCTCAGACTTGTATTCAGTGAGCTTGCTGAAGCCTCTTTCCCATTCAACCGCGTCGCTTGTCAAAATTTCTCGGGGCCACGCGGAGATAAAACTGGAAACATGTTGGCTGTGTAAATGGAATGGAATTCCTAAAGGTACCCCCCCCTCGATCCTCCATTTTCGAGGAGGGGGGATTTTTTTCCTGCTAAATGTTTGAAGTGTTCCAAGATGCTACTCTTGTGCAAGTGCTTCCAATAGCCCCAGGAGGTTCCGGGTTGCCACCTGTATGTGGCAAACGTGGTGTAGCAGATTGGTCGGCCGGAACCTCCAAGTTTGGCCTTTAAATCCAATTCGATCAAGTTAGCCCCAACCAAATTCTTGTGGATAGTGAAGCTGAAGGATTGCCCATTCTATATGCATTGGAACCCTTGAAGCTTGCAACCCCATCGCCAAAGCATCGCTGAACTAAGCTCAGTCGACCTCTCCACAGCTTCAGAAACTGAAGCAATTCCTGCAGTCTGAAAAGGTGGATTCACGAGGCAACCACGAGGCAATGGCTCGATGACAACCACGAACAAGCAAAGGGTCTAGGGAAAGGGCAATGGGGAACTTGGATATTTTGAGGTATCCCTGAATGGGAGGTGGCTGGTGTAGTCTCGTCGAAGGTGTCGAACGCAAAACAACAAAACAACAAACCAGTGATACAGAATCATGATCTTTCCCTTCCAAATTATGTTCTTGGATTATCTTATCTTGGATTATCTTCCTTGATCGTGGAAATAAAGTCTCTACAGCTCTGTAACATGTTGGATAGCAGGAAAGCATGCCGGGACGAACCAAAGTCTAACAACAAAGCCGCTTATGGCCTCGCCTGGGTACTATTGATACAAACATTCGTGGGCAGTATGGTACCAGGGGGCACTGTGTTCCGCTGCATGCTAACAAACTACACTGCACCCTGCTGCAGTCAGTGACCAAAGTGCAACGTTCCCGCCCAACAAAATGCCGAATGCCGAGTCCCTGGAGCAGAACAAAATATGTTTCATCTGCATTGCATGCCAGGTCGCCTACTTGCACAATTGCAAGCAGGCAAACACAGCTGGCGAACATCAGCGTTGCACACGGTTTGGTCAGCTTCGCAAGGATTCGACGCATACCCGACTCAAACCAGCAGCCGCGTACGAAAACATCGGCAGCGTGGAGGGGCCCTCGCTGGCTCAGATTGAATGCAAAGATTGAAACTGAAGCAATTGCTTTCCTTCTCGTTTCCTATGCTGTCTTTTGTTGGCTCCCTCTCCCTCTCTTTTTTTTTCTCTCTCTCTCTCTCTCTGATTCGCACTTCTCTCCAAACATGGCTGTCTTGTGTAAACTTTGCTTGTGGGGGGTCCACAAAGGTGACCCCATCAAGAAGAGAACATGCCTTGCTTTCCTATCAAATCACTTGTCCAAAAGGAAATGCTGCTTCCAAACAGCCTTGTGGATGGTTCTTACCTTTTGCCTGTGCCCATCCTATGGGCCATAGCCTCCCTGCTTGGCTGCTGAATCCATGTCCCCTGTCTCCTCGCCCAAGCATTTGGCCGCTGTTGTGTGCATGGCCAGGTCTGCTTCCAACGCCCGATCCTTACCGTCAATGACTCCGCTCCGAGGTCCCCGTTTAGAGGATGTCCAAATTGGCTGATGGGGATAACTCTGGGATATTCGGATAAGGACATGCTCCTACGTCCCAACAGATGGCTGGGTGGTCTCTGTATATCATATGCATCGAAGGGGCGCCCCAAATTGGAATGGCAAAGCCGCCCTTCAAAATGCCTAATCTTCAATTTGATTGCACGCTGTTGTATATATGGATCTTCCACTATGAGGCCATAGCCAAGACACCCCCAGATCCACAAAGAGGCCCTGCACCAGTTTCCAGCGCTGTGGGCATTCATAGATCTCGTCCAAGGCACGTGCAGCCACACGGTGACACATGACGTCGAGCTCGGTCCTGTCCAATGATTCCAGTGATCGTCTGTGGGCTAACATGGAAGCGGATGGCGTGGCCACTGGGAAAACAATATTTCTCTATCAACACGGGTTTGCCCACTTCCATGTTTGTTGCAGGGAGGGTATTCTCTTCTTCTTGCCTGCAATCTCCGTAGTGCTTTTTTCTAGAGCTAGGACTTCTACAACGAGTTTGACATCTTTCCGGTGAGCAGGACGGTCACTATGTTCTTCCACTGCGGGACCAAGGTACTGGGCTCGTGCTTCCCAAAAGATCTGAAAGGCACGCTGCCACTGGCCCCCACTGTCGCAAGCAGTTATAGCAGAGCTGAAGCACAGCAAATCATAGAGCCTATCAGGGAGGCTCTCACAGAGTTCACCTCAATCTCACCAGGTGTTCAGATGTTAACTGTACACTGCACATCCTCCGCCACAAGGGCACTATTCAAGCTTGGGCACTCACTTACTTGCATATTGATGTCAATGTGGTAGAAAAACATCCGTCTGCGCAGAATGAACCCCAGCCTCTGATGTTCAAGCGACCTTAACAAGGACAATGCGGTCTGCCATGCACTTCCGAGACCACAGGCGCAAATGGTGGTGCTGTACGAGACAGCATCTGGGAGTACTCGCAGCTCCTTCAAATTCAGCAGCAACATCAGCCCTGCCTGCCATTCCCGAGCATTACCTTGGAGCTTTTGGGCACGAGCATGACATAGACATAGACTCAAAGCCACAGCATGTCGAGCATGGAATTTAAGATAACAAATTGTGGATATGCAATATAATGTCCATATCGACCAATACACGTAAAAAATACCCCACAGGGAGGACTTACGCAGCTGTTGCATTCCAGTTACTGCATGCAAGCATTATGGAGTTGAATGTCACTGCACTTGCTGGCACTGACTGGTCGTCCATTTGGTGATAAATGTCCAGTGCTGCCTGCCATTGGGCCACAGCACCACAAGCAACAATGGAGGCATTGAAGGAGATGGAGTTTCCTTGAAGCAATCGTTCATCAAGTGCTTCAAGAAATCCCAAGGCCATTAACCAACATGCTGCTTCCCCACAAGCACTGATAGCTGAATTCAGTGATATGATGCCAACCTGACTCCGAAACTCCACGCCTCAAGAATTCAAAGGATTTTCTAGGCTGAGGACTTATTTCTGGGGAGGTTGTTGGGCATCCAAAACAAGCTGAAAGGACTACTACTTACTACTGGCCTCGAACATCTTCAGCTCCATGTCTTCTAGAAGGGCCATTGCAGCTTGCCAATACTTGGCTTTCCCACAGCCACTCATGGCGGCAGTATAGGGGACAATATTTGATGCCAAGGAGGTGCGATTCATGATCTCAAGCACTGCCAGAGCTTGTCGCCACTCACTTCCGTTGCTGCATGCTGTGATGACGCCGCTGTAGCAAATCACATCTAATTCCAACCCCGTGGCCTCCAAGTGCTGCAACAAAGATAAAGCTTGTCGCCACTGGCTACAGCTAGCACAAGCTTGCAAAGCAGCACCCAGGTCAATCTGGCTACGCCGCACCCGCCGCCAATGCATGTCCTGCAACAAAACCAAGGCGGCCTCCCAGCGCACGCCACACGCCAGCATGGCCGAGCTAAAGGATATGCCATCCAGTCGAATCTTCTTCTGATCCATCCTTGGGCAAGCAAGAAGCAAACAAGCAGCTTGCCAAAGAACTCACAGTAGCACTCAGCAAACATTTTGAGAGTTGGAAATGTTCTTTCCTCTTTGCTGAGGACCATATTAGCTTTCTTCGCAAAGTACAGCTGCATAGCTCTGCCACTTCCGTTCAAACCATATTGCTCTCCAACCAGCCGAATTGCCCGAAAGGGGCAAACATTGCGTCCTATCAATCTTTTTGGAGTGTGGTGAGTGTGGTGTGCTTGCTGTGCAGCGCCAACGCTTCAGGGGGTGGCGAAGTGCTTCTACGCTTCTAGACTCCAAATGTTTGAACTATTGGGTTGATTGATCACAGGCACTTTAGCCCACTGCCGTATACCTGTAGTAAGTTTACAGAGCGGAACCGTATTGGTACAGTAGAATTGCTCGACATAAAGAAACTAAGGACATGATCGTCTCGGCCAGGGCGGGTGACGCATCGGCAAGGCTGAACATTGATGCTCTGGTCCTGCGGGTGTTGTTCTACATCCCGGTCCTGCGGGTGAGTATTGGACCGTATTTTGAGTTCATGACCTACACATACAAAGAGAGTTTATTTTTGAGTCCGATCTTGGGTTGTGGCAAGCTATATAGCATCACAATTAGGGGTGTGAGACTCTTGGAACCTCATTGCTTCCCAGGTTCTCTTGCAAATGGCCTAGGACCACGCACCATAGGTTTGTACCTGTGAGCGCATCAATGGACGTGTTGTAGCTGAAATCATCTGCTTTCAAGCTTCTGTGCCTCAAGAGCTCTAAGAAGAACAATGCAGTGGTCCATTGTGTCTGTGCGGCGCAGGCTTTGCTCACAGAGTTAAAGGAAATGCTATTCCCCTGCTGCCGTTTGTTTTGCAGTGTTCGAATCAAAGACATGGCTAGAAGCCAAACACCAATGGAGCCATCGCTTCTGCTTATGGCTGCTGTGTAACAAACCACGTTGGTCTCAACATGTTCCTCTTCAGCCTCCCTCAACATCATGCTGGCGACCCAAGGGTTGCAACTTCGCAAAGCTGAGCTGCAAGAGATTGAATTCCTTCTCAACTGGTGGAGGTTGAATTCTTGAAGCTGACTGCATGCATGAAGCCACTGCCCTGCTTCACTACAGGAGATGACGTTGGAACTGTAGGAGATCAGATCTGCTTGGTGGCCTTGATGCCAGATCTCATCCAAAAGAACGCTAGCACGCAGCCAGGTGCTCTTACATGCGGAGATCGCGGCATTGCAAACAATCAAGTTGCCTGAGATCGCGGATTTCTCCCTTCGAATCAGCGATTTTGATGATCCAAAGCCCCCATGTCTCCACCGGATGTTTTTGCAAGCGCCCTATGTTTGTGCTCCCTCTCTTCCCTTCACCCCTTGCTGTTCTCTTCTTCCCCAGCCCCATCCTTGTGCACTGGATTCCCCAAGCATTGCCATCGCCAGTGGCCAGTGAGCCCGAGCAGCCACCATCAGAGCACCTGATCTCCAAGAAAGGGCATCTGACCCACTGCAGCTCCTACCCACTTAGATGCCGTGCAAGTGCAAAGAATCCAGTTATTTGTCAGGGAACGGTACAGATGTGCAAACACATATTCTTGTACCGAACCGTACAGGTAACCGAAATGATGTAGCAAAAGACCACATCGGAATTACAGTGACCGACCGAGTTCTCTGCGTAGTCGTTCGTGCAGTTTTGCCTGAGCTCGCAAGGCCCACGCGTTCTTCTCCCTTCCTCCGACTCACTGACCCTGAACGGCCCAATTCGGCGGTTTGGGTTGGTGGCTTGGTACTTTACCAAAGCTGTCATGGGGAAGAAACAACGAGCACTGAACAGCTGTTGGGAAGGATAAAGCCGAAGCACCCTACAAAAAATCTAGAGGTTGTCCCATTCCATGCCGGTAAGTCAAAAATGTGAAGCTCTCCCATGCAATCTAAGTTGTTTGAATCAGAAGGTTACCTTGTTCTTTTTCGCTGCGAAAAAAGGCCCAAGGCACTGTAGACCGCAGCGTCTGCCGACAAGCGCTTTTGCTTGAGCTCCTCAAGTAGAGCTACCGAATCCTTCCAAGCTCCATGCTCACCCGCCACACGGATGGCCTTGGTGTATGCCTTTCTCTGGCCGCTGGATCCCAACATGGCCGTTGTATGGCGCCGTGTGTCACTCGACTGGACGAAGCTAACGGAAGAAACGGCATATTGCAAGTCTTGGAGACATCCAACCATCCAACGGTACAGCCGTGAGGTCTGGAGTTTTATCTTCTAGATTACGCGTATTATATATTAATATATATATATACACAAACACATAGGATGATAATACTATAGATTTGTTACTAAGATTTGTTTTACAGCTTTGAGTTTGTGAAGGTGCAAGGTCTTCTCTCTGTCCTGGCAACATTGGAAGCCGCCAACGCTCCTGGTGTCAGTGCGAAAGATATGAACGATCGAGAACGTACAGACTCACAAACGTTCAAGGATCCTCCCTGACAATGCTCATGCTCCATCTGCCCAGCACGATAAACACCGGATTGGGATGGATTGGGACGATTCATAGATAACGATAGATAACGGATGATAGAGGTACTGGTTCACGATCACATCGACGATTCAACGCCACACCGACATCGGCGCCCCCGGCCAAGTCATCGGCATCAAGTCGGCGAGAGCGCTCGACACACCTGGGTGTGGCTGTGACGTGCACTGCGTGCTTCGGTGCGACGCGTCGCACCGGGTGTCCAGCCACAACGGGGTGAAGGACGAATCTTCATAGGCCTCATGTGGGGCTCGAACCAAAGATGAAGAACTTGAGCAAGGTAGAGGCATGCCAAGAATTGCCAAGACATCAGGTGTAGCAACAAACACCACATGAATCGCAGGCGCCCGGCCATGAACCGCAGCCGCAGCAAAACCTGCGTCACAAGCAATGCACTCCATGAATCTCCGTGACACGGCTCCATGGCAGGTCTGCCTTTGTTGCCATGTTGCATGGCACTCGAGACACAACTGTTGCCATGTTCAAGAGTATGGAAACAATGCGACAAGGGCCAAGTCTCACAGCCAACTGTCCAAACGCTTCAGTTTCTGCTTGAAAGGCTAGCGGCTACCGGTTTTCTCTATGCACACACGTCCAAAATGGTCCTCAAAGGCTCAAGGCATGGTACACCAACTGTCCCCCGTTCCAGGCATACCCAGCCCGTGGTTCTCCACCTTCCCCTCATAGCCAAAGGTGATCTCTGAGCCACGTCGCAGCGGGGCTTCCCGTCCTGCTGTCAAGCAGGACCACTCACAGAATCGGAATATCCGCCGGCCCGCACAATTTTTTTTGAACCAAATCCATCGGCCTGTTGTGGAAGGCACACTGTTAACATCTGTTAACAAATGATTGCATGTTGCTACCGCTGATCCACTTGCCTTGCGGAAGTGAAAAGCCCCCTGTGGAGGAAATGAGTCTTCCCACTCCTTATCCTCGTCCATATGAGTTTATATGAATCAAACACGGTAACACCTGCGCTGGTCACCCAGGCTGGTCCCTGATGACCCTTCTTGAGCACTCCAGTGAACTTGGCACCTCGCTCCAAGAGCTGTCCATCTACCAGCCTTGGGCAAAACAAGCTGCCACGACTTGCAAAAAAAGATCAAAAAAGGACCTCTTGACAACGGACCGGGCTGGAGATGTAACAAGCCTTTCACGCCCACGTCAGCAGAAAAGCTGGAACTACACGGAAGTGACAATCAAGTGGGACTGTCGGGTCTACGACCACAGGAGAAAAGCCTGTACCACTTGAGATCACTATCCAAATCGCCATGAGACCAGTTGGGGTGTTTTCACGGGGTTGCCTTAGATCCACCCATGAGGGATACCGGCCGACAGGCCTCTCTGGGCCTCCAAACAAAGGGTTGGAGCCACAGGCCAACAGCTTCGCCTGACGCGATGGCACGATGAAACTGTCTGAGATATCTGTAGAACCCCCCTGCGATGTGTCAGCTGCAGTCCTATAGTCTATGATCAAAATCATCTCACTTACTATTTTCTGGCTACGTCTTCGACAATAGCGCGTGAAATGAAATGACATCTGACTTACTTGTGCAATCAGGAAGTCTTTCCGGGCATGGCTCAACTCAACCCGTCCGGCGCCTCACCAGAGGAGTCCCATTGAATCTGAGCGTTCGACAAAGGTCGAGAACGTCAAAGTGCCAGGCATGTCACGCAGCACCCATCAACAGCAATTCACCCCGCGGCACTCCGTGAAAAACGACTGAGAAAAAACAAGTGTACGAAACTCAAATAATGAGATACGGTACAGTATGTATTTTAACGCAGCTGGATATGCGCTGGATATGCGCACCTCGATTGCTTTGCGAGAAAGGTAGCAAGCACGCCTCAGTCGGGTCTATGAAAGGATGCAGCAATATGCAGCACATTTCACAAACATATTCAAAGACTGACAAAGGCTTCTACCATCTCCTTTGTTACATGATTTTCCTCCGCCTTTCTCTGTTAAAATCTTTAAGTAGATAAGTAGCTTCTGTACCCTTAAGTTTTGGTACACCAATCTCTGAGCCATTGGCGGTGTTGGCAACCAGGCCTCGAAAATCGAACTTTGTAGATCTCGCCCGACCTGGCAAAAGGACGGCTTCATCTGTGTGGAGAATGGGAGAAAATCTGAACTCTGGGAAAAAGAAGGGCCCATTTGAAGAGTTGCGTTTGTAATGTTCAAGAATCAAGCTTCAGGGTTGGCAACAGCACCTGTCCAACCGGTTTGTGGAGCGGCCCCCCGACCACCCCCAAGGTCTTGGCCCAATCAGTGAAATGTGGGAGGCAGTGAAGATGAGACGGCGATCGGCAGGAGATAGAGACTATGTGTAAAAGTGGAGGACTGCAATTGGAGAGCAATTGAAGATTGCATACAACTAGTGTCAAAAAAGAATTGTCAAACGTGATCGAAGGCGAGGGGTGAGCCACATGCAAAGACCTCCCCGAATTTAACAGTTCTTCTGTACAGGGAAAAGGCTGAAGTAGCCCAGAGGACCACAGGACGAGACCACCAGGGAAAGAACTTGGCAGCCAACAGGGCCAACAAAATGCTGTAATTCTACGTGCTGCCACTGCTCCACATCAAGATCGATAAGCTCTTGAGCTCCCAACAGCTGCTGAGTTGAAGCTGCCTCAGTGCTCACTTCCGATCTCCAGAACAGCATCGCTTCCACAAGCAAACAGGGTCGCAACAAGTGTGCCGAGCCACACTTGTTGCAAACACCAGTAAACATGTGCAACACAAAAATGGCACCGGGAGCCCCAGGCTTGCATGCGAACAATATGCAACACACATCCAAAAGCTGCTATCCACTATATAGTTCAGGAAAACCCGTAGGTTGCTGGGTCTTGCTTGTTGAGCCACATCTAGCTTCAGTTGAATCTGAACCGGGTCCCCACACCAGTGCCTCGCTTCAAGGGGAGGTACCGCCTCAACCACTTCCGTCGCAAATCGAAGATGTCAGGACTCGGAGCTTCATGCCGGTCCTGTCGTCCATAATTGTCAAATGTGTGCATCGAAGGACTCCATGCATCCTTCAATGAGCAGAATGTTGCCATTGGAGCAGTTGATCCTGAGCTGGCAGCCAGTTCGAAGCCAAAGCCTGAGAGGCCCCGGTGCCCGATCGACGGCCAAACAGCGACCAGAGGCCTGAGACAAGAAATCTGGACATGAAGAAAAGTTACTAATCAACATAATATAACTATATATATATGTTTATATGCGAACGGATGGAAAGGTGTGCCCTGGCCCCGTTCTAGCTCTTAGGTCAACATGAAGCTCGCGCGCTAAAGCTCCTTTTTACCTGGTTGGGCACTTGAGCCAAAAGTATATGGCATGTACCTGTATAGCGACTATACTGGGACCCCATCCCTATTGACACCCCCCACATCCGTACTTCGACGGGGAAGGGAGATGAGTGGATGTAAAAACCGGAGAACGAATCGTGTTCTCAAAAGTGTATTGGAGGTCAACCAGTATGTCCTATTGAATCGAATTAGCAAAAGATCTTGCATTCGCTTGAAAGTTGGATCAAACAGGTAATGGAGCTACAAACGGAAAACGTGCACCTACCTATGGTATCATGCGATTACCAACGGTGTGAAACACAATCCTATCTCACTCCCATGATGCCAAAACGGACATCATGAATTACCCAAGATCCCTCAGTACTTGAAGTACCGGAAGTGGCATGTCGGTATGACCCCACTGCTCAACCATTCGTGAGTTGTCGCATGTAGTCAGCGCCGACAAAGCCAATGTAGTCCTTGATGAGCTCAACGTTCCTTGGGTTTCCCGCTCGGATCTGCTCCTCGAAGGACTTCAATTTCTGTGCTTGAATAGTGGATACCTCTATGCCATAGTAGCGGCATGCAACGAGGATCTCCTTCGTGACATTCTTCCTCTCCGATTTGATGGCGGGACTAATGTCGATGAATTTGTATGGAGCGGCATTTTCGTCATCTGGTTTCTGGTAGTAACTATACCGGCTCGCTCCGAAGGTCTTCCTGATCAAGCGTCTGATGAAATTTGAGATGAATGCCAGTTTCTCGATGATCTCTTCCTGGGTCTCAGACCTTCGAGCCTTTGGATCACTCATGTTACGCCGAGTGCTGCCGACCTCTTTGAGGTACTTGTGGCTAAGCCCGCAGCGGATTGCAGTGATCATCATCGGGTGAACAACGTGGGCGTGGAATTCATAGATCTGCCACGCTTCTGCTGCATACACGTCGTCGGTCCATCGGCTCATGCCTACGACCTCGGCTCTCTGGAGACGTCTTGGAAACCCAGTATCCGGATCATTCGGTACTATCGGCCATCTATTGTGCGGAGTGTCATGCCGCTGTCCATCGTCGAACATTCGCAGTACATCTTCACGACTTTCAAAGCAGTTGATGTCGAACGTTGCGTTGGCCAAGCTCTTGATCAACTTCATCAACCTCAGATCAAATTGCTGTGTGACGGCAAAGTTGTGGTCGATGGGGATCGCAGCTTCTTGCGGCAATTCATCAATTGCGAAGGGGAAAGGCTGTGGCAGTTCATTCCCGTATCCATCTTGAGGGACCTCCCGATATTCGGGTTCGCCTTCAGCTTCGTCCGGTCGTTCCTTCAAAATGATAGGAACTTCCTCCTCTTCCTCTCCTTCGGATTCCTCGATCTCAATGACCTCTTCGGCTGTCTTGCGTGCGTTCTTGATGACTTCATCGATGTTTGCACCTGCAGCAGAAGTTGTTTCACCGGAAGAACTGGCTGGGACATCTTTTGGAGGTGATCGTTGATTGCGGTCCCTTGTCTCCTTGGGTACCGCGTGCGTGAGCTTCCCATTCGCGATCAAAACCGCTACGCAGTGCGGACATATCGTCAATCGCACATCGACTTCGCCAAGACAGTTAGGACACGGTCTTGAGTCATAGTCTTTCATTGCTCGGCGGTACACGATCTCCTCAAAGATTTCCTGCCACTCGGTGCTATCATATTCTGGATAGACACCACTTTCCTCGATCATACCCAACAGCTTTGAGATTTTGGCGTCGTCCTCGGAGTAGGTATCGTCCTGAACCTCAACCGCTAAACTCTCAAGCTTTTGAAAGCGTGGAATCATGATCGGGTTTCCGTATTTGGACTCCAGAACAAGGTAGCTTCCAGGGTCGGGTTCCCTATTGAGTAACCGGATCCATTCGATCTCCTCAGGCTGTCCGGGTTCCGCATTGTCGCATTGCAACCATGCCCCTTTAACCTCATCGAAGGGAACGACGTTCTCAACCAATAGAGAGCCAGTCGCTGAGATGAGAAGTCCGTACTCCTGCAGCTTCCACACCGGAATGTAGAGAACCACCGGGCGATCACTCAATGCGACCTTACGACCCAGCCAAGGTTTTCCCTTGTAGCCCTGCTCCCAGGCCCATGGCGGAAAACATGTGAAGTGGATAGAATCCCTTCCCGATGAACCGAGACCTCCTGGCACTAGCCCTCGTCGCATGATTGAAGTCAGCGCTCCGAGATTGGTAGCGTGAAATGCAGTCACCATAGATAGGGCCATGTCGTTGGTCATTCTCGATCCAATGTGGTCGATGTTAATGGTAACGTCATAACCTCCGCCGTCCGTTGAGTGTGCCGAGGTTGCTCTTACAGCCACGGGAAAGCACCATCCATCGCTATGGTGGAGTCTTCCTTTAGAGATTCCCATGTCCTTGAGTTCGTCAATCCATTCCTTCTCCATCGGGTCATCGGGGTCATTGAGTTCATCAGGGTGAACGCGGACTGCCAGCATTTGGAATCTGACCCTCTTGGTTATGCGGAAACACTCATAGTTCTGGTCGAAGTACTTCTCCAAACGCGCCTTCTTGGTCACGATATCTATGTTGCCATAGTGATAACCGTCTTCCCAAACTGCGTTATCACCTAACAGGTCTTCCCATGACACCCATGCGCCTTCATCGCATTTGATTGGTGCAAGTCTTCCCCCTGTCCTGAACTGGCGTCCAATTCGATGTCTCAACTTCGCTCCCAATCGACGACTCAGGGCCTGGCTCGCTTGGCTGTATTCAGGTACTCGACAGTCTGGAGTCGGATACTTGTGGTTGCCGTAGTCGGAGTTCTTTGCAGCGAAAGTGACTCCGTTGATCGGTACTAGTTCAACTTTCCCGACCATCGTCATGGGGTCGATCGGCTTGTATCCCTTCTCCCTCCGTGTTGGTAGGGGATAGAAGTGATGACATGCCTTTGGTGTGAGGGAACTGGAGTGCACAAATGCCTTCTCTACAAATTCGTACACCACTCTCATATCCCTAGGGCCTGCCTCCGCAAGCTTCCGCCCATTGTAGGAATGTGGCCCTCCTTCGACTCCATCGGCACTTTCGATCAGGGTGAATCCGTCATGATCGAACATTGTCACGACTCTTGCTTTTAACATCTCTTTTCGCCTGAACTCGCTGTCGACCTTCCTATCTGGAGTGGGCGATGCTCTCTGCTTCTTCTTCTTAGGCTCCTCGGTTGGATGTCCAGATGGTACATCGTCGGGTGCAACCTCTCCCTTCACTCTCTTCTTCCAATCACTCAACACTGAGGTGACTGTAGGTGAAGATGAAGGGGTCTTCTCGCAATTGAGAGTTGTGTGTCCCGACTTCATGCAGTGGATGCAGAATTCTGCTTGCCCGATCTTCTTCTCAAATTCGTCGATGGCTTGCAGTATTGATGTCTTCGGGTCGGACATGTCAACATCTTGCTCCTCCTTCTCCTGTCCACAATCAGTTTCCATATCGACACCTTCGGCCTCGGGCTGGTCAGTGGCTTCTGTTCCCTGTTCTGGTTCTTTCCCAATTTCGAAGAAGTGGTCGATGTCGAATTCAGGAGGCGGCATGGTCCTCATGCGAACTAGAATCAGTGCCACGTTTGCCGCCTCATCAGAGTGCGGGTCCAAGGTTCTGATCGTCGATCGCTTTCGGTTCTCATACGTTGTCCTGTCGTACAGCGATGCAGTGACGCGTTTGATGGATTCTTCTAATCCCGTCCTCAAAGCTTCGATGTCACCCCATCCCCTGAACATATGCCTGAAGAGTTGAGCAATTTCAAACATGCCCAGCAGCGCTTCCACCATGTCACCTACCCGTTCCTCCGTGGGATCATCTCCGAATATGGTGCGGAATACATCGGGCTCCAGTATGGTCTTGAGGTATTTGGTGTAGCATACGTTGCCAAGGTCATAGGATCCCTGGTAGTACTTGGCGCTGCCGATTATCTGCTTTTCCACATGGATGCTGGGTCCTCTCCTCGTTTTGAAGAAGTTCTCCGTCATTGTTGATGACAACCTGATCCCCCCGAAGAACGAAATCTCCTTCTGGAAACCTGGATTCTCATTAAAGATGATCATCGCCTCGTGTAAGAACTTCATCAAGTCATCGTGCGGGTTCATCTCGGAGATCATGACGGTGGGAGAAGATACCGTTTGTCCCATGCCGAAGTTGTGAAGCAATCGCGCACATGCATGGAATCGCTTCTGGACGTAGTCTTCTGCGGACATCCCACGGCATCTATTTGCTGCTCCGTTGATGCATTCTGCATAGCAATCGTCTTTCAAATCGGAGTCTATGGGATGGCAGACCAGACAGTAATCGCAGCAAATTTCCTCACCCTCCTTGAAGTCATCAATGACGTACCATCTTTGAGTCCTCGAGTATATTGGTTCTGGCTGAAGGACTCCCCAGTACTCATCCATCCATGGCATTTTGTTCTCTCTCCTTACCTTCTCCCTCTTCCTCCTCTCAGACTCATTCTCACCTGAAGGCTCCGCAGTGGACTGATATGCATGGCTTCCTCTTACGGAATCTCCGAACAAGTACTGATACAACCTCTCTTTGTCCTGCAACACGTGTTCCAAGTTGGGATCATGGAGGCTATTCGCTTCGGTCAAGGGATCCGGTGCCATAAAGCAAGAAGCGAGCATCTTTTCTCTGAACAAGTACTTTTCCATGACAGCGTGGACCAAAGAGGTTCCAGACTTCATAGAGTAGGGGTGACCGCTTCCGGCGACCGAAATGGCCCGCCAGAATCTGTCCGACGTTGTGGACATCATGCCATTCAGCGATAGCTCGTCCTTGATCATGT